CCCACTTTACATTGTGTTTCATTCTCGAGCATATAACAAAGCATCGTTGGAAGTTATACAAATAGGTAAGTGGAAGTACATTTTCATCAGATTACTTGTGTTTCCACGCACGAAAGAAAAATATTTGGAACGTCATACAAGATATGGTTGAATCACCTTTAGATTTGCCCTTTACATCTCTGTACCGTACGTACTTCTGAAATCGTGTGCAGAATATTAATAGAACATTTTTTTTAGTCCTGCAGTGGATACTTTTAATGTTATAGTAAAACATTTTTAGCTTTACCGAAAATAGAAGCATGTCCATAACATAAAATATGGCCCGGCATGGCCAAGTAGTTAGGGAGCTCGACTCGCAATATGAGGGTCGTGGGTTCGAATCCACGTCACACCAAACACGCTCGCCCTTTCAGCCGTGGGGGCGTTATAATGTGACGGTCAATCCCACTATTCGTTGGTAAAAGAGTATCACAAGAGTTGGCGGTGGGTGGTGATGACTAGCTGCCTTCCCTCTAGTCTTATACTGCCAAATTAGAAACGGCTAGCGCAGATAGCCCTCGTGTAGCTTTGCGCGAAATTCAAAAACAAAACAATCAAACATAAAATATTTATCATGGTATACGTTTTTAGCAATACGTTTACATGAAAAATACGTTTTGAAACTTTACACAAACTTTCATGAAACATTTTTAGTTTTACAGTACATGTTTGTAAAATATATACGTTAATATTTCATTGAAAATTCCCTATATGTTTTTGGCTGCGTTTGATATCCTTTTAAGGAAGTCATACTTTCGAATCTTATTCAAAAGGTAAGTAAAATGTTCTTAATTTTATCATGACTCTCTGAAAACTTCTTAAACAGTGGTACGTAAACATTTTTCAGTTCCAATATAGCACAAGTTTAACCTCACATGGGATAGGAACAAAGTTTTAAATTTTACATTAACATAATTTTAAGGCAAATACTTGAAAAACTTTATACCAAGGTAATGAAAACATTTTTTTTAGTTTTGTAATTATGTAAAGGAAACTACTTTCAAAGTATGGTTATTACCAGGCCCGGCATGGCCAGGTGGTTAGGGTGCTCGACTCGCAATCTGCGGGTCGCGGATTCGAATCCCAGTCCCACCAAACATGCTCGCTCTTTCAGCCGTGGGGGCGTTATAATGTGACGGTCAATCCCCCTATTGGCAAAAGAGTAGCACAAGAGTTGGCAGTGGGTGGTGATGACTAGTTGCCTTCCCTCTAGTATTACGCTGCTAATAGCCCTTTGCGCGAAATTCAAAAACAAACAATGGTTATTACCTACATCTAACACCTTATACAATATGGCTGTTGACATTAGCTCCTTAGTCCATTTCGCTTTTTTCTACCTAATCCTAATCCTGTTATAAACTGTTCAGTCAACATATCAATGATGGACTGTGCTAACTAACGTATCAACAGTGAATATACTTCGACTTACTTAATGAAATAATCAGTAATGAACGGCAAATACTGATGATCTTTATCTGTCTCCAGGAGAGGATCGGTTATATCCAGAGATATTCTCTGCAAAGCATAACCTATAACTTTCTCTAGAAGTTTCCTTTGCATGTCCTGTTTTACAACGGACAGCACACACGGCAACGTGTTTGCACCATCGTCCAATGCCTTGACATGAACGTGTCCAGAAAAGAAAAACAATTACGCATGCTAGCACAGTTGCGAGAAACATCCTGGTGGTCTAAATCCCTGCATTATTTAGAGATTGAAGTATTTCCTACCTAAACGTTCTTGGGACCATCATCAGCATCACTGTCGCTTTGAGGCTTGTAACAATGGTATACAATGGTACTTTGCTACACTCCTAACTTCTTGTACAACTACTATAAATTGTGTACATCCATGCTGCGTTCATCTATCTGTGATGGCTATGCTACATAACAAGTAGTACTAAATTTAGATCCTAAAGTTCCTTAAGTGTGATTTATGGAGTCCGTCCACAATTGAAATCATCATTCACTATATGGTCAGCAATAATTGCTGCATCACTGACTTTCACAGCCACCCAGTTTCAAGGGTCTGATCATTCAATGAGCGGACATGTTCTTATCATCAACAAAATTTTGTTATAATGTGCTGCTACCCCATAGAATGGTGTACAACAAAGATGTACTCCTGCACTGTTATGTTTCATTTTGTGATCACCTTGCTCAGATTGATGATTGGTCCACTTGAATAGCAAACTTACTCTCATACCAGTAGTGGTGACAATGTTTGTAATATTTAACACTACGACTACAAGCAGTTTCTTCTTTTTCATTGAATTATCCACATTCAGAAGCCATTAAAATATAATCACCATACATTTTCAAACATTTTACTCCACCTTGCAGCCATGACAATACTGCTCTGATTCCATTATCATTAGCATCAGTGACCATTACATTGGACAAACTAATGCAGCAGTATCAGCTAAAGCACACTTCAATGAATGACATTTTTCGTCATTGTCTTCATCTAAATAAAGTACCTTTCATCTTTAGCCAGTTAGGACAACTGATAAAAACGAGTAGTAACCAGAAGAGGATTTAACCTCAACCATATTACATTCTCAGATTACAAATACACCCCTCATCTATATATACTTCATCTGAGAAATGGCATGTCCAAGTTTTTCGAATTTAAAACTCTGATTCAACGAGAGCATAAGGAAGTATAGAGAAAATAGACAAATACATCAAAATTCCGAAACTCTGGGAAAACGGGCCCTTTTTTTTTTTGGAACCATAATATCACTCTTACTGCCTCACTCTATGACGTTCTCAGGTACATTGGTTTTCTACAAGTAATTACTACTGGCTACTCTAACAATAAAGTAGTAGAAAGTGTATTGCAGATTGTAATTCTGAATTTTAACCCTATTGAATTAACACAAAGAAAAAGACTGAACAACGAATCTTAACAATAAAAAAATGCTTTAATGAAACAAGTAACCGTATGCAGTGGACGAAAGACAAGTGTACTCTCTGCATCTGGTAATTTACAGAGATTTTAAAGACAACTGACTGAAAGAATGATCTCTATCAGTTTGTTATATTCAAAATTGGTTGCGTAAGTTCTCCCTTAGCACACTGCCACGATATCACTTGTTTAATCCCATTAACTATTTTACATCTGTGACTGACGTGACCAGAAAACCTGGCAGGTCAAATTTAAAAAAAAAAAACATTCTCAGCAACCAAAATCGCAAGAAGACTCAGAAATACCAAGGGGGGAATGACCCTTGAAAACACGTGACTGGCTCTCAAATAAGGACACCACTGTTTACAGCTGGTTACTTGTATGTCATATGACAACTTGTGCAAAACCCCGAATAAGTTTGAACATTTTTGAACGTTTCATGAACAAATAGATGTTCATTTTTCTAAGCTAAAATAGAAAGGCATCCATGGTGTTTCTGAATGCCGAATGCCACAGTACAATACTGATTATCGCCTTATTATAAGTAGTGTGTTTTATCTTCAACCCTAAAGTTTCACATTCGTACTTAGTTGTATCTATTCCCCAGTCTACAAACTGTAAGACCTTCTGAACAGATTTGTATAATTTCGTATCTTCTTACGGAGCCTACCTCGTATTGAATTTATTGTTATGAATGCGTTTATAAGATATTTTCATTACAAATTACTTCATTGCCTATAGGAAAATGATCACTAAATGCAAGTGTAATGTGTCAGATATTGCTTTCGGAAACATATCATATCATATATCAAGATACTTCAAGTAAAAATTTGTCTAACCACACTAATGTGAACACTTATCCCATTTGAAAATAATTACAAAAATACATTTGCAATACTTCTAGTCTTATGTGTAATACATGCACCGAAAAACACACAATGGCTGGAGATGAACTGCTGTTGTTAATTTTAACACCCAATAAACTTATTGTAATTCCTTTAGCTTTAACTGGATAGGGAAGAGAAATCCCTAGTGTAACACAAAACTCACTTAAATACATTTAAAATTCAGGTTTGATAGTAAACTTGAAGTATGTATATAATCAGTGTTATTCTACTTTACATAATTAATGAACATTGATGTGGTAATATGATATTGCCTAAAATTTGTTTGTTTTATACACGTTCATCCTGCTTTGGTATTACGATCTTTTTACTGTTTCTTTTTTTCAGGGTCAAAATTGGGACAATTTACTTTGGTTCAAGCTGTCCTAAGTCGTATGTCCTATGTTCACGTGAGGGCACTCGACTCTCAATCTGAGGGTCGCGGGTTCGAATCCCCGTCACACCAAACATGCTCGCCCTTTCAGCCGTGGGGGCGTTATAATTTGACGGTCAATCTCACTATTCGTTGGTAAAAGAGTAACACAAGAGTTGACGGTGGGTGGT